GGGAGGGGAGGGGAGGGAGATAAATGCAAGGCAAGGTCCACACAAGGAAGACTGTGTCATCTGCACCCAGTTAGAAGACGAGCTAATGAATGAAAACCTGGGGACACGTCTGATGGCTGGATATGGTCAGACCTCGCCGCCCACACAAGCATATATTCCAGATGGATTAAGATTCAGATGTTAAACGTGAGACCGTAGCTCCTTAGAGAAAAGCATGGACCTTTCTCTCAAAACCTGGAGCTGGGGAAGCCTTTTTGATGAACCCAAATCCGTTATCCTTACTTTAAAAAACTCCAACAAAACTTGAACATGTCTATATGTGTATACATTTCTCAAAGGTGAAAGCAAAATAAAAAATAGACACATAACCAATACAACCAAAGCCAAAAGATTTGACAAATTGGAAAACAAAATCACAAATTTTAGTCTCCTTATAATAAAGAAAAAAAAAAGTAACTATCACGGGTAGCGGTGCCTGGAACGCCTACAGAAGTTAGCCCCGTTGTCTGCGTATGAGCCCTGTGATGTTGGACACTAGCGCCCCCTCCTGGCTGGGAGAGGGAAGCAGGAGGGGTTAAGGAACCTGCCAAGGCCGCATACCCAGCACAAGCCTAAAATGTAGAGAGGCTTCTTCTAAATGTAGAGGACTTCTGTTCCCTGAAGTCCCAAACAAGCACCAACCAGCCAGGCTGGGAGCCACCCTAGGTTGACACAAGCAAGCTTCCCCTCCCACGGTGCCCTCCTAAGGGGAAGCGACGTCCTAGGGACACCAGTGTACATTTACAAGTGCGTCGCTCTTCGCCACGTCCTCCTCCTCTTGTGACAACCAAGCTTGGCAGAAGGCAGATGATGCCAGTCATTCCGGAGGCAGCAGACACCCAGGCCTGTGGGGTTACAGGGCCGCCCAGCCCACTGGGTCCCCGGAGCACACATCAACTGCTGCCACTGCCGAGCCATCTCAGGATCTCCGTGGCACCCTCTATCACCACATGGAGGGTCCCTGGGGCTTCTCTCCCCTGTTGGTGTCTCAGAGAACTGGACCGGACACAAAAGAAAGGCAGTGAGGGTGCACATTTGCAGCGCATTTTCCGCAGGAGAACACGGGCCCTGTGCAAACCCTGTCGTGGCCGTGGGTGGTGGCGCCCTGGTCCCCTCCCCGGGTGGCCTGTCAGCTGCAGGGGCTCAGGGCCCTCAGGCGCACGGAGGCTCTGGTGGCCTGCAGCTCCCCGAAGTGTCGCACCCTCATGTGGTAGAGCTGCTGCCCCGGCCCAGCTCAGAGCCTGCAGACACAGCCACCGCCCCGCCCTGCTGTCCACCCTGTCCCCCAGGCCCCTCCTAACTCCGTCTTCCCAGGACACCGGGAAGGGGATTGGGGCCCAGGCGCTGGGTGGGTCCTGCTCTGGGCTCAGTTTTCCTGGCAGTACCTGGACAGGAGGGCGGGAAAGTGGGGACCCCGGCTCCCCAGAGGGGAGGGGATGCCCTGGGCCAACCCAGCTGGAATCACCAAGGAGGCCAAGCACAAGAGCGAGTGTGGGGGACCCAACCCGCCCTGCCAGTGATGGCAGAAGCGCCCTGTCCCACTCGTGTCAGAACTCAGGGGGGCCCTGAGTGACTCCTGCTCAGGCAGGGGCCCAGCTCAGGCCGGGGCTCAAGGTGCCCCTGGACCTCCCACCCAGGAGGGCACCCAGGGCAAGACCCTGAGCCCGGCTGCTGCTGCCCGCCTGCGCCCCTGCCCGGCCGTCCCAGGGCACCAGGCTATGAGCTCAGGATGCGGGTGCTTGGCTGGGTGGTGGGTGCTGCATGGACCTCGCTCCAGGGGTCCCTGGCCGGGGCTGCACCTCCACAGCTGGGCCTCTGTGTGCAGGCCAGGAGCAGATGGTGCCACTGCCCCGGGGGTCCCCGCGGCAGGTCTGGCCCCATGAAGGAAGCTGAGCCGGGTGCCACCCTCCTCGGTACCGCGAGTGCTGCAAGAGGGACTCGGCTGGGCGCTGGCTCGGCCCTTCTGTGTCTCCTCAGGCGCCGCTGCTGCGGGGATGTGGAGGGCTCAGGGCTGGGGTGCGGCCCTGTCTCCCACTGGGGGACCCCCGGGGTCTGTGGAGCAGGAGGCTGAGGCACCCACATCCCTGGGCGGCGCATTTCCAAGGAGCCGCTGGTGACGTGAAGGACGTTCCCGGTGTTATTTTCCAAGGAGAATTAATTCCCGCTGTCCTCCTCAGACCCGGGCCAGCTGGATGTGGGCTCGCGCCGCACCCCGCCAGGCGGACAGCTCGAGTGCTGCGGGCAGGACCAGCCCTCTGTGGGCGAGCTGTCGCTCTGGGGCCACAGCCTTGGTGTGAAGCCAAAAAGGCTCCAAAGTTGCGTGAGTCATAGCAGAATTGGAACAAAGGGTCCTGAACGCCCCAGGGACGTGCACTTGGGGTGCGGCTGTCCCCCCGGGAACTCAGCCAGGGTGATTCCAGCACTCATCGCCACGCAGGGCTGGGGCTCAGCCAGCCCCGAGGAGCAGCACGCCACCCCTAGCCACCCGAGCCGTGCCCTCGCGAGCGCTCCGGGCTCATTTATATTACGCGGGGTAGCTGTTTGAACGCACACTGGTATTTTCCTCACTTTTAGCTTCCGGCTACACCTTCCCTGTGAAATCCAGCCTCTTCCCAAAGGAAAATCATCTCCAGCATGAAAAACAGACAGTGCCCTTCGGCACCGGGGGCCACCGGTGCTGGGAAGCACAGTGAGCGCTACATAAACTGGGCCGGCTGAGGCAGGGAGCCCACCTGATCCGCTCTGGATCTGCCTCTGCGGCTGGTGGCACACGTGGCTCTGGGTGCTGCACCTGGTCCTCACCCCTTCCGTGCAATTTTGAATTCAAACATTCAGGGTGTGTTGGGATCGCTTCTCACATTACACACGGCATCTAGGCAGAAACAGATGGACCCGCGCAGGTCCACCCGCCCACGAGCGTGCGGTGCCAGAGGTGCCCGGGAAGGGACTCAACTCTGCTCCCCGGGGCAGCAGCCTGGCTTTGCAAAGCCACTTCATGGCACTTAGCTGAACGGAATTGATGATCTAATGCAAAATATGAACTTCACGTTTTCACTTTTTTCCCCAATGCCCTGGACACATTCTGATGAAGATGTCAATAGGAACCAATGGCCGCCACTACTTCTGTCTCCTGTCACGGCCCGGAGCATGCTGGGAAGACCTCCAACCTGCCCGACCTGGAGCATGTTGGGAAGAGTGGCTTCTGTCCTCACCCAGGAAAACACACCCAGGCTTTTGTTCTGCCGCAGGGCAGCAGCGGGGTGAATGTGGATGGAGGAGGCGTCTGGCTCCACGAATCAACCTGGTGGGACCTGAGGATCTGGGGACGGAGGCGGAGATCGGGATGGCTCTCAGTGACACTGGAGAGACGTTGGAGGCAAGGAGACATTGAAGGGTCCTGGGCACCCCAATCACCCCCAAACAAGACACAGCCTGGCTCTGCACACCGGGCACAGCAGCAGAGACTGGACAGGTACTGGAAAAATTAGAGATTTTATTTGCACAAATACTTCACAACTGACCCTTGCAGCCAGCAACAGTCACAAGCAGGGGATGCGCCCGGTCGCACAGGTCGGCACCCGCAGCCTCGGGGGTCAGGCCTCTCGGGGGGCCCAGGCCCAGGCACATCTCAGCACAGGCCCGGGCGCTGCTCCCACAGAGGCCAGCGCAGGAGCACCCTGTCCCCAAGGCCCGGGCCCCGAGTCATGCCCCGAACCCACGTGCTTGGGAGTGAGCAGAGCCGTGGTCGGGGCTCACGGGTGTGCGAGGCAGTGCCAGCGTAGCCCCACGTTCCGTGGGCACCAGGGCTGGAAGGGCCCCGGCAGCATGCTTCGTCTTTGTTGCCGGGCTGGTCTTCTGCCCGGAGCAGAACCCTAGGTCAGCAGCCTCAGAGGAGCAGCGCCTGACGTGGACGGCTTCAGACAGAAATCTGTCGACCTTCCTGGAGGGGCGGCAGCGGCCGGGGCTCCAGCGCAGAGGCAGGGAGAGGAAGAGCTCGCGGGGATCCAGGGCATCGGGAGCCGCACCTGGGTAGACCTCATCCCCACAGGGCGAGAGCACTGACAGGGTCCTCAAGGCGCCCGGCCCTGCAGGTTGCCTGGAAGCATTTAGGCTACAAGGGGCTGAGGAGGAGGCCTGGGGCCGGGCTGGGTGTCCCCAAGGGGAGCTCCCCACTGAGCCTGGTAGCAGAAATGGGGTGCAGGCCTGCTCTTGCCTTCACTTCCTGTCTCAGTCCCATGAGAAAGATGGCTTCCCCAGTCCTCACAAGTGCCTATCAGATGCCACCCGCAAAGGGCCGGCCCTTTTATTTGCAGCTGACTTCCAGCCAGTGTCCACCCAGAGCAGCTAAGAAGCCACAGAAGAAATGACCAGACCAGGCCAGGCACAGTGGTGGATGCCTGTAATCCCGGGATGCTGGGAGGCTGAGACAGGAGGGTCTCAATTTCAGGCCCATGCTGGGCAACTTAACAAGATCTTGTCTCAAAATAAAAATTTTTAAAAAGGGCTGGGGATGTGGCTCAGTGCAAAGGCCCCAGTACCACCAAAATAATAATAATAATAATAAATTAGCAGACCAGACTGCTTACGGAGAGCCAGGCCTTAGGCTTCCCAGATGCCCATCCCTTGAGGTGGCCCTCTCTGGGCCAAGGACCTGCCTGCCCTGTCCCCTTCTTGCTCAGGCTATTGGTCACTGAGAGGTCACCGTCCAGGCCCCCACAGACGAGTTTGGAAGGAGGGCCCAGGGGTCAGCACCACCCCTCCTTGCACTTGACCCCGTCTATACCCGGCAGGCCCAGTCCCCACTTCCGGGCAGGGGTCAGGGACAGCAGTGGGGAGAGGGCGCGGAGCCGGCATGGGACGGGCCAGTGCGGTCAGCAATCACTGTTTACTGAGAGGAAGGGGCGCTGCAGGGCATTAGGCCAGCCCCCCGCATCCTTGTGCTGGACGTCAGGGTGGAGCCCACGGATCAGCTGTTCACCTGTTCAAAGGACAAAGACACAGGACAACTGTCAGGACACACGGACAGGAGCAGAAAGTTGTTCCTCCCCAGGATGACAGAGGGCAGCAAGCTCTGCAGCACACAGGGACGACTCTTCCTCGGGTGAAGCTTGCGGGCTGCAGGTGGTGGCCAAGGGACACCAAGGACCACACGGGCTGAGGACACCCATGCAACTCAGGTACTTTTCACCCTGGCCTGGCCTGCCTTCTCCCCACGGCTGCCCCCGAGCCACCAGCCAGCTGGGCCTGTAGGACACATCTGCCACCTGCTCCCTCTGCCCAGGGTCCGTGCCCGGCTCCCAGCGTCCCTCCTCCTCACCCCCAGGGTCACCGGGCCTTGTCTATATCCCACCTCCTGTCCTTGGCCAGGGGGTGCCCGGCCCTGTGCTAATAAGACCCCGGTGACACTGAGGGGACATGGGCCGAGCATTGTGCAAACACCCAGTCCTGGTTCTGCTGCCAGGAGGAGACCCTGAACAGACAGGGCAAGGCACTCGGCCACCCCACCTGGAAGAGAGGTGCGGTTCTGCCACCAGAGGGCCCCTGCACGGCTAGGGCCTCAAGCTCCTCTCCCGGGAAGGGTCCTGTCCTGACCTGTCCCTCTACTCAGTCCCTCACCCGGGGCAGGGCTTTGGGGGCTCTGTGGGGCCGGGGCCGAGCCCCATGTGTCGTGTACAGCTGCAGCTCCGCAGAGGTGACAGGATGGGGGAGGATGGGGGCACAGACAGAGGGGCCCCACAGCGTGGGGGTTGCTGTCGGCGGCTGGCCCAGTACCCAAGTCGGGAGCAGAGCGCGGTGTGAGGCGGAGGGGAGCATTACCCGCATCTGTTGGTAGATCCAGTCTGTGAATACTGTCATGTTCCCGTACACCCCGGGGCTGTAAGCCTTGGCACAGCCGGCCCCCCAGCTCGTGTCCCCGATCAGCCACCAGACGTCATTCTTCAATGTGACCAGCGGCCCTCCGCTGTCACCCTGCGGGGATGTGGTGGGTGATGGAGAGCAGAAAGTCGAGTCACAACCCGCCAGCGTGTGCCACCCAGGAGGCAAAGGGTGAGGACCCGTGGCAGGTCTCGTCCACACCAGCCAAAGGCCACTGAGCGCGGGCCGTTTGGAATGGCCAGACCGCCTTGTTCTGGTCCACACTGCTTTTACCCCCGGAAGCTTTTCTCGAGGAAGCTGCAGCGTGTGGGCTTCTCTGCCTGAATTCTCCGGGGCAGCAGCCCTCGCTCCCCAGCTCTCTCCTGGGGAGGAGACCGCCCCTGTCCCTCAGGAGCCCCCAGCCCCGGCCTGTGAAGGCAGCGGCAGTCACCTGGCAGGCGTCGACGGTGCCCTGCAGGAAGCCCGCACAGATCATGGCTGGCGTGATCATGTTGTTGTAGATGAACTTGGCGTTGCACTTGGAGCGCTCCACGAGGGGCACCCAGGCGGTGTTCAGCACTTCCGAGGTCTTCCCTGGGGACACGGACAGTGGCCAGCGGCTCTCAGCAGAGGACAGGAAGCCCCAGTCTCCCCTCCTCCTGCCCTAACACCGAGCCCCCTCCCGACTTGTCTGGTAGGGCCACTGTGATTGTTCCATGAGGCAGATGGAGAAACTGAGGCACAGTCTGGGCAAGCACCCAAAAAGCCCACCATGGAGTCGCACGACTTGGATGGAAACGGAGACCGCCCAGGTCCAAGCCCCCTCCCCACTCCGTGTCCCCCAGCCCCCGGGCCCCGGGGCCTCACCTTTCTCGGAGGTGGCACCCCACCCGGAAATCCAGCACTGCTGGTCAGGGTCCAGTGCCATGCCAGGGTTGGGCAGACACACAGGCTTCACTTTGTCTGTCTCAGGAGGAAAAGCCCAGTTGGCAAGGGCCTCGGCGAGGGGCTCCGCCTGGCTGGCCACGGCCCCGAAACCCGGGTCCAGCTGCCCGGCTCCCACCCGCCCCTCCTGCAGCAGACAGAACTGCACTACTATGAACCGAAGTGGGGCCAGACGGCTTCTGAATCACGTGACGAGTGTCCCCAGGCAACCGAGGGCAGAGGGCGCGCAGCCAGTGGTCCCAAAGCCGACCCCTGCGTGAGTACAGCCAGGCTCCGCGAGAAGCTAAGGGGGCAGGGCCGGTGGCTACGTCTGCGATCCCCGCTCCTCGGGAGGCTGACAGGAGAACTGCAAATTGGAGCCCAGCCTGGGCACTTAGTGAGACTCTGACTTAAAATAAAAATAGGGCTGGGAACGTTGCTCGGTGGTAGAGCGCTCACCTAGCTGTGTAAGACCCTACACTCAAGTCCTGCAAAAAGACAGAAAACAAAAAGGCCAGGAAATCCATATTTGTTTGAATTATGCCTTTTAAGTGCTTTGTTTTCAGAATGCAGGTGAAGAAATAAAGCTAGAAACTTATATATGCTCTCTGGTAAGCGCAGGAGAACTTTGCTCAGCACACCTGGGAGCGCTACTGCCCTCTTGTGGGCACAATTAGGAATGCAGCTGAAGGACCGGGGCCCAGGAGAACGGACAGCAGCACCTGAGCCACGCGGCCCCCAGCGTGGCCAGCACTGTGGCCAGGAGGACTGATAGCAGCCCATCCCAGTCAGTGGCACTGAGGCTCCGTGTGGCGCAGAACGCGTGTGGCCCCGGCACTGGGCCCTCCCGTCCCCACCAAGGCCCCCAAGCCACACCTCCCCCAACCCCTCGCACCGTTGAAAGTCAGCGGTGCCTGCAGCTTAAAGAGTGCGACGTCATTGTTCTTGGTCTTAATGTCATAATCCGGGTGCGAAATCACTTTTTCCACCCGGTGGCCGTCTCCGTAGAACATGAAGGACTGGCTCAGGATGCCCGCGAACACCATCCAGTACTGGGGAATGTTGAGCGGCCTGGACAGGCGGGGACAGCACGCAGGCCTCAGGGCCATGGGCGGGCGCTGCCCCGAGGGTCCCACAGCAGTGTGACGTCCAGGCCTCCCCAAAATGCAGCCCTCCTACTCCCACCGCCCTGTGCTGTGTCCCCTCATGGGGGACCCCTGTTCCTCCTGTCTTCAGGGCCAGCCGCAACGGGGCCTGAACCCCACCCTGAGGCTTCAAAGCCCATTTCCGGCAGGACCGGATCTCACTGACCTTTCTACGCTAGAGCACTTCTGCACAGACAGCAGAGGCCTAACAGGGCCGCTGAGGAACAACGCTTGCCCTTGACCAGGGGTTTGGGAGTTTTAAGAGAACCCCAGTTGTAGAGGGCCCTCAGAATCTGCGGGTAAGGAGAGGGGTGGAAGGGACCCCTGGGGGAGAAAGGTGGTCTCCTTTGCCGTCCAGCAGCGCCTGGGAGACGCGAGGGACGCCCAGGGTCACGGCCCAAGGACACTGGTAGGTGGTGGGCGGGGTCCGCAGATAGACGTACTCTTCCACGCAGTGGGCGGCCGTCACGATCCACTGGGGGGTGATGATGGAGCCTCCGCAGACGTGGATGCCCCGCACCTGCAGGCTGACCTGCCACGGCCACTGGCCCGGTGAGGCTGCCGAGCCGCCCACGATCCTGCTCTGGAGGCTGGTCGAGCGGACGCCGCACTCTGAGGACAAGCACAGGCCAGCGGGCAGTGAGCGGCAGTGGCCGCCTCTCACCCCGTGCGGCGCTGTCACGGGGGTGCACTCTGCCCCCTCCCCCGACCCCGATACCCACGTCCCGGGCCTTGCATGTGACAGCAGAGCCTTCCTGGGGAGCCCAGCTGCGGCCTAAACGCCAAAAGCCTGGGGCTCCTGGGCCGGCAGCAGCCGAGATCCAGGAGGAAGAGTGGGAAGGTGGTGGGGCCAGAGAGGGCGAGGCGGGGTGGGGTGCCGTGGCCCTGGAGCCACTTCTCTGGGATTGCCCAGCGCCGCCCTCCGGAGGGCGCTGGTGACCAGGGAGCCCGCAGTGGGTGGCCGGGTGGCCCAGGAGAACATTTAGGCAGGCTGGGTGCAGGGCAGCCCGTGGGACCTGAGCCGCACCATAGGACAGGGGTAGGGGTGCCGCTGTCCCGTGTGGGAGCCGCGGATGAGCCCCGCCCAGCTCACGTCTCCAGCTTTCTGGTCAGCCACCACCTTGTGCAAGAGACTCGGGCACAGCCCCCGGTCGCCACACCCCCCTCCCACGTCCCCAGAGACACAGCTCAAGGGATGCAGCACTTCCTAGTTATAAATGTAAGGAGGGAAGCCAGGTGTTGTGGTGCATGCCTGTCATCCCAGCACTCAGGAGGCTGAGGCAGGAGGATCGCTGTGAGTTCAAGGCCAGCCTAGACTACATGGTGAGACCCTGTCTCAAAAAGTAAAAAAAGTTAAAAAAAAAAAAAAAAAAAGTGAAGCAGAAGCGTGCGGACGGACTCACCTATGCAGCGCAGGGAGATGACGCTCTGTGAGGAGCAGGCGTCACTGAAAAACAGAGCTTGGGTCACCGTGTGCACAGCAGCGCGGACACGCACACCCCTACCGGCGTCCCCGTCCTGCTGTCTCCCAGGACAGCAGGTCCCTGCTGAGGGCCCTAGCACAGCGACGAAATCTACACGGGGCTCGGGTCCCATGGCCTTCTGGGCCCCTCCTCAGGACGCCCCACTATGTTTATGTAAATATTCCAGGTCTGAAACACCTCTGGCCACAAACGCTTCTGACGGAGGGCGCCCAGCCCACTGGGCCGGCCCCTCGGAACCGGTTTGGGCTTTCTGCAATGCACTCTGGGGGCCCTCCCGGCTCCTTTGGGCCCTGGTGCCTCCGTGCACCTGAAGCTTCAGCCTGGCCCCATTCTCACTCCCGCCTCACGCCCCCCGCCCTCCTCCCAAGACACCCCAGGTGGTCCCCGGGCACTGCGATGGGGCCCTCTCGGCCTGGGGCAGTGGGCCATTCATGAGGCCGTGTGGAAGAAAGCACATTGCTTTGAAAGGTGACGTCCCCTAAGGACCCAGAGGTGACAGGGACACCGCCATGCAGCCACCAGCATGTGGGAACCAGCAGTTCGCAGAGGAGCCTGGCCTGGAGCCAGCAGAGCCTCAAGCACCCAAGGGCGGCTCTGAGCCTCCCTTTGTGCCCAAATCCTGCCGCCAGCCGGGCTGTGACATTCTAGACAAGGACCTTCTCTTCTTTCCTCCAAAGTGCTGCCACCCTGAGAGTTCCCAAGACTCCTGCCAAGGACGAAGGATGCCAGCGCCTTCCCCCACGCGCACTCAGCTCCCAGCCTCCCAGAGAGGAGGAGACAGAGCACCGTCCACACTGGCAAGGGGCCCCCACTGCACTCAGCACGACTGCTTGGAGGAGAGGCGGGTACTTAGAACCAGCACCCGGCTGCTGCAGCACAGGAGGCGGCCACACCACGGAGGAGGAGCCCCAGGGACCCAGGAAGCTTCACGTGCACGATGGACACTCTGCACCCTCCCCGGCACACGGGTGTCCTGCAGCCATCAGAAGCACACACAGAACCACCTGGCGGGCCCAGGCCCCTCCCGACCCTCCTACCTACCAACAGCCACACGCCCCTGGCTTATCTCACGTCCCTCCCCCCGGATGCACAGGGACCTGCTCAGGGTCACAAGCCAGCTTTGATGTACAAGGAATGTCTGCCGAACAGAATGGGACATTTGTGCCCCGGGTCCAGCACGCTGTCCCCACACTGTCATGGGTCGAGGCCAAAGGACTCAGGAACCCCAGCGGTCTGGGACGTCCCCAGGAAGCAGGACTTGGGGCACTGAGACCTGCAAAGTCCAGGGTCCACCAGGAAAACGGGTCGACCCAGCGAGGCCATCCAGATTACCACCTAGGTGCCTGGTCCACACAGCTGTGACTTGAATGGGGTTCGGTCCTCAAAGTCTTCCATTAACGGAGTCCCCACCACTGAATCCTGGCAGCGTTGTAAGGACAGGGAGAGACCACAAGGGACACGGCCCTCCCACCGTGCTAGGACGTGGCCTGAGGGACCCTTACCAAAGCCAGCTCCACAGCGTGTGAACCTTGGACCTCCAGAGCCACAAGTCAAAATAAATGTCCCTTCTCTGTAAAGGAGCCTGCCCCTGGGGTTTTGACACAGCAACAATAAGCCTCGGCTTCAACCCAGGAACCAACCCTCAGCTGCGAGCGCAGCCCCGTTGGATTCTAAGTGCCCCCCATGCCCACCATAGAGCCCCCCAGCACAGAACGACAGCCCAAGAAAGCAGCTCAGGAGCTGGCCCCAACAGGTCTCCTGGTTCTGCTCTCTGTCAGATTCCGCAAAGGAGAGAAGAGATCAGCTCGCACCTCAGGTACAGTTTTTTGTAGAGGTCAGTGTTGCCAGCGCTCATGTTGAGCTTCATAAAGTTTGTTGCCCCGCTGTTATCTTGAATTCCTCTGCTAGAATAAAAGCTGTTCCTAAAAAGGGGAAATGTGTACAGCGGTGTTACTCAGATCCTGCGCCATACCCTGAAAGCCCTCCGGGTGGCGTCGGAAGCAGGAGGGACCACGTCAGCAACAGAACCCAAACCGAAGCTCCAATTGCGAGGCAGGGTATTACAACCAGCCTGCTCAACCCGGTAAGCCGGTACCCTGAGGTTAAAGTCCTCCAGCGATCGTGTTTCTAATCTAGTGTGGATGAGATTAAGGATGCAAGGGAACGTACATGGTGCAATCAAAAATTACAATGAAGTTTAAATTTTGAAAAGTACTATACTAAGAGGCACGTGGTCGTGAATCCCCTCAAAATGCTCCCCCTCCATGCGAACACACTGCTCGCACCTCCTCACCACGTCCTGCAGCAGCTCTGGCGTCCTCTTTCCTGGGGGTCTTAAACTGTGCTGTTCTGGCTGCCTTCATGTCCTGCATGGGTTCAAACCTTTTCCCTGTCATCGTCATTTTGACTTGGGGAGGAGCAGGAAGTTGACTGGGGTCAGATCCAGTGAATCAGGTGGATGAGGACGGTGTCATGTTTGTAGGAGCCTGCCTTTCTGTTGGCACTTGGCCGCAGGAATCACTGTAGTTTTGATCACACCTCCTAAAGACCCTCAGGAAAGAGGACTCCAGAGTGGCTGCAAAAGGTGGCCAGGACGAGGGGATGAGTGTGCTGGAAGCTGGGGCAGGGGGGTTGAGGGGGATTCACGACAATGTGTCTTTTACTATAATAAAACTTTTAATTTCAATTTTCACCGCATATTTTGATCACATCCATACAATCTGATATAATACTCCCTGTTGTTATAAAATTCCCGCAGCTTCCTGAGCGTGATGGGTGTTGCTGTGTGACTTAACCCTGCTGGCTAGGGACAGCATTTTAAACAGTTTCACCATCCAAGATGCCATCACAAGCTCTTGGACTTGCGGCTGCCAGAACGCTGAGCCAAATAAACCTCTCTTCTTTACAAATGACCCGGGCTCAGGCATTCTGCTGTAGCAGCCAAAATGCAAGAGGAACAGGGTCCTGCGGCTGAGCCCTCGGGCAGGAGACACACCCTCCGTGTCACTGTGTGTGGGGACCTGAGGACCATGTACTCTGCTCCAAAGCCTTCAGTGGCTCCCACGAGCAGAGAAAGAGGAACAAAGGCTCAGCCTGCCAAAAGCTGCTCCACACTGATGCCCTGCCCTGGGGAACCCTGCACTGGGTGGGTGTTGCCTAGCAACCAGGAGGATGCAGGTGAGCATCTTTCCTCAGACTGGAGGAGAGGGCAGGGCTGATGCCCCAGGCAGTGCACCTGTCAGAGGACCCGCTGCCTGTGCTTCTGCAGACGGCAGAGTGACGCAGTCTACGTCGCTGCAGCGCATGCCCAAATTCTGACACTCGGCCCCCTCCCTGCGCACACTCACTTGTAGCCCATGTCCGCGCACGCCACCCGCGCGTAGCTCTCGCTCCAGTTGTCCTGGCACACAGGGTACCAGGACTTGCTCTGCGACGAGTAGACCTGAAGCACAAAGTTGGGTCCGTAGAGGCGAACTGCAAGAGAAGCCAGGCTCTGCGTGAGCACCCCACACACCCCCGCTGGTCGTCCTGCTTGCCACGGGCCCCACGCTGCCATGCAGGCACCCAGGGGCGGGGCGTGGCGGCCGGTGCTGGTCTTGTTGCATCCAAAGGGGGGCCACGTTGTTCCCCTACAGTTCTTTCACTTCCATTACAAAAGAGAACTGAGGACGGGGACGCAGACACACACTCGTCCTGAAGTCCCCTGTGGAGCACCCCACCACAGCCTCAGGCTGGGGGTGCCCAGCTGCTCCCCGCGGGTGGGAACGGCAGACCCGAGACACGCAGTGGGACGTCACAGGTCACAGAGGGACGCAAAGCTCTGACTTGTGCCCGATGTGGAGGGCCTTTGAGGATGCTGTGCGGGGGAGGGGCCGTCACGGAGACCCCGGCCAGAACCTTTCTGGAATGTGAGATGTCTCACGAGGGACGTCCAAGAGCACAAGCAGAGCAGCGGCAAGTGAACACAACCAAATCCCTCAGAACTTGAGGACGCCCCTGTGGCACCAGTTACCGTGGATACCCTTCCAGGGGTGCAGCCGGATGAGGCACTGGGGAAGGCCTGGAAGCCACGGCGGGGTTCTCCGCAGGGAGGGCGGGCGGCCTAACTGTAAACCGCGCTGTGCCTGGCCCGACGCACCAGACAGCCCGCTGACACCTGCCGGCTGGTCCCCCGGCAAGGGCCACACCGCTGTGACTGTCCTCTAACGCTTCCGGGCTGGGTGATTCCACCTAGGCCCGTGTGGCTGGCCACGCCCTAGGACACAGGAGCTGCCACTCGGCGGGCAGCGGGCTATGGTTCCGTGCTAAAAAGAAAGCAGACGTGGAGCCGGCGGAAGACGTTCCAGGCTTTGAACCCGTGTCACAGCTTCAGGGGGGCTGATCTGAGAGTGCCGCACGCCACGCGGCGCCAGCCGGCGGCCGTGCCGGGAGAGGGCACCAGATCCGGCTCACCGGGCCCTGGGCAGGATGGGCAGGCGGGTGCAGAGATGTTTGGGCAGCCCAGAGGCTGCCACGGGAGGACCACAGTGCCGCGCCACGGAGCGCCGGAAAGAAGGAGTGCTAGAGGAGACCGGGCGGCAGGGCACGGCGGCCGCTCCAGTTGGTGCTGCGGCACAGTGAACGCGAGGCCTCAGCAGGGAGCTGCACCCTGTCGGCGGGAACGCCAGCCACGGGACCGCGCAGCACCAGTGCGGAGAGGCCTCAAAACTAAAACTGGAGATCCTTCCAGACATCTTCCGGAGAGAGTTACAGACCTCGCCTACAGTGACCCACGCACACCCGTTTACGGCAGCACAGCTCACAGTCGCTCAGCCTTGGAAGGGGCTTAGATGTTGATCAACAGATGAAGGGCACAGAGAAGGGATAGAGGTGAGGTTCATGGACCGTGGAGTACTACTCTGTCATAAAGAAGGATGAACAAAGCCATTTGTGGGAAAATGGCTGCCCCTTGAGACCACGACGTCAAGTGAAAGACACACGTAAGACACACGGCCTGAAATACAGCTTGGTCCCTCTTCTATGTGCAACCTTCGAAGAACAAAACGTAAGACAGACGGTAGGAAACGCAAGTGGGCGGGGCCCCAGATGGGTGGGTGGAAACAGCGGGGCTGCGCTGTGCCCACGCCACGGTGGGCATGACGGCCCTGGGCCACAAACCCGCACGGATAAAGAGTCGCTTCCCCGAGGGCTGCCGGGAGGGGACCCCGGAAGTCTCCGCACACTCTGCTGGGTTTTCTGCAAATCTAAAGTTGCTCTACAAAGTCCAGTCTGCGAGCCGTTTTTTCAAGTAGCTGCAACGAATTTCCTCAATGAAGAATAAAGCCGTCGCCGTGGCTCGGGAGAGGGGCGGGGGACTTTCTGGCCGCGGCTTAGAGGGGCCCCGCGGGCTGATGTTCCCCTGCCCCTCTGCAGCCCGAGGCGGCTCTGGAGGTGAGGCCAGGCCGCCCCCACAAGCGTCCCGCCGGCTTGTCAGGGTGCCGGGAAGCTTCGTGGCGTGGCTGAGCGTGGACGGCAGAACGCACGCGTGCTCGGGGTGTGCTGCGGCACGGCGGCCGAGACGCCATCGCGAGGCTCCAGCCGGTGAGCATCCCTGCACCGCCGGGTCGCCAGCCTTTGCTTCGCTCCGCCTGCTGTGCGGGGAGAACACGGGATCCGCGCCGCAGCCGACTCAATTACGCGACACGGAGCCGCTGGCAACAGGAGCCTCCAGGCGCTCTCTAGCGTCTCCTTCTGAGGTTTCAAGAAAAACTCCCAGGAAGGAGAGCAGAAGGAAGGGGTCATGCACGCGTGCACGTGTGCGCACACACACACACCACGCACGAGGCACCCTTGGAAAGAAAGCACCTCCGAGAGTGCGCTTCGCCAGAAGCCACTCACAGTCTGCACCGAGGCCCCCAGAGCACCCCCTGGGGAACTGGACCTCGCAAAGGTGACGCGGCTCCTGGCTTCCTTCTAGAGCATGTCACACCAGCACGCTCACACACAGCACCGCTGCGGGCTGCGGCACCGGGGGAGGGGCGCGGCAGGGAGGCCTGGCACCCTCGGCCAGCCGGGTAGCGGGGGTTACACGGAGACTCCCTCAGGGTGTGAGCAAACCCCACGGGGGAGTGAGGGATGGTCCCTATCCTACAATTCGGAAATTCCCACCGAGCTGAGGAAGAAGCTCAGGGCAACGGTGGCCCCGGATTCCATCCCCAGGCACCGGAGAAAAAGGGGTGCAGAGAGAGAAATGCAAATGAACCATGGTGCAGTAACACCCCACCCCACCCCCACTTAGATGGCTGCTAGCACATGGTGAAAGATAACAGCCTGCTGGGGACAGAGAAGAGGGAATCCTTCAGGGTTGGTGGATTGTAAATTTGGGGGTGGAACACTGTGGAGGGTCCTTGAAAAATTGAAAATAGATCTATTGTATGATCCAGTTATCCCACTACTGTTTTTAGCCAAAGGAAATGAGTAGTATGTCAAAGGTATGTCTGCATCTCCGTGTTCACTGGAGCGTAATTGGTAATAGCCAAGATCAACTTCATCGAAAGAGGAACAGATCAAGAAAGTGTGGTGGGTGTGCACAATGGAGTACTATTCAGCCTTCAAAAAGCACAAAATGCTGTCACTTGAAGTAAGCCAGGCAAGCACACACAAACACACGTGTTCCCACACACACGTGGAATTTTTTAAAATCAAGCAAAAAAACAAGAGCAGAGCTGTAGTTCCCAGAAGCTGAGTTGGAGCGGAGAGTGGTCGGTCCCAGAGCAGTTTCGTTTAGATAAAGGCGCGAGATCAAAGGGGCCTGCCCTGCCGCGGGTGACGTGCTAACAGTTGAGGGGCATCAGGAAAGGCAGGGGAGAGGTTCTGAGCGACCTCACCCCACAGGGATAGAGGAGCACAGGACGCAGGCGCCAGCCCGGCTGCCCACAGCCTGCGCGTATCAGAATATCATGAGCACAGCGGCCGCTTGTCGATGGGAATAAATGGATCATCGCAGGCGACAGAAACAAACAGAAGCACGCACCGTGCCGGCATCAGGGCGATGGGAAGAAAGTGTGAATCTTCAAAGCGTTTTTAGACGTAGGGCAGTGAGAGACACACTGCCGAGAGCGAAGGGTGGAGTGTCCTGGGCGGGGCAGAGCTCGCTCCTGGCCGCGCGTCCTTTCCCGTGCCGCGCTTGTGCGGTTTAAACGCTCAGGGCGTTTTTGGTCACGGGACCCAGGCTCCGTCCAGCTCCCCTCCCCGCATCCGAGCCCGGCCGGGCCAGGCCCACTCACCACAGCGGCTCTCGTCCTCCCCGTTGGGGCACTGCATGACGCCGTCGCACCAGAGAGAGGGGCTGATGCAGACCCCCGAGCTGCTGCACTCCACTCCGGACCCCATACACCGCTTCCCCACTGGCCGAGGGCACAGGGAGAGAGCCACCGTCAGGAGGAGAGCCGGGGAGCCTCGGGAGCCCCCCGGGAGCCCCGGCGTCATCTACCGTGCTCCTAAGGGGAGGCCCACACAGCTCCCGCCCCGGGAACTCTGGGGCTGTGCACCGCGTGTCCACCCGCCCAGGCCAGGGCGAGGGCGGCTGCAGGGGGCATGAGACTCGGGCACCAATGTGGCCCATGCATGGCAGCTGGAGGTGCCGGTGGCAAGATGGCGCTGAGACATTGACCGCCCTGAGGGTGGGGGGCCGGCCATCAGGGGAGGAGAAGGAAGCAGGGCGCTGGGGACTTACGGAATTTCCACAGCAGGACGCTGGTCAGCAGCACGGCCACCAGGACAGCGCCCAGGACCAGGAAGAGTAGTACTATCCGCTTCGTCTCTGCAGGAGGGGAGAGCAGGACACGGGTCAGCCCTGTGGGCACGACACCTCCCACGGCTCTTTGGTTTGTTTCGGTTTTTTATCTCACTGCGTATTCCAGGCTGGCCATGAACTCCTGGAAATCCTCCTGCCTCAGCCTCCTGAGCACTGGGATTCAAGGCCTGCGCCACCACACCCCACTTCCCCACCCGTCTGATCTTACAGATGCTCCCTGACCCAGTCGGACTTGTAGCAGGGTCTGCAGAAACCACCATTCCAGATGAGCACACCGCAAGTCACCATGCACCACACACACTCGACCCGGGACCGCCCTCACCCAGCCTCTGCCCCATGCGCACACTGAGAAATCTGCCCCCAGCCTGCAGGGGGCTAGAGCACCTCACAGACAGCCTGCTTCCCGGAACGTGAGTGTGAGGCTGGACACTGGCACGTGCTGTGAGCCCAGCACTCTGGGAGGCTGAGGCAGGAAGATCACAAGTTCAAGCCCTGCCTAGGCAACTTAGTGACTTAGCCAAACACTGCCTCAAAACCAAAGCAAATTTTTAAAAAGGGGCTGGGGAAAGGAGCACAGTGCCAAGGCCCTGTTTACAATCCATAGTGCTAAAAAAAATAGTGAATTTGAATTTTAAGAATATATCTTGGGGCCAAGAGTGGTGGTGCACACCAGGAGTGGTGGTGCACACATGTAATCCCAGCACTCGGGAGGCTGAGGCAGGAGAATCATTGCAAGTTTAAGACCAGCTTAGGCTAAAAAGTGAGCTCAAGGCCAGCCTGAACTGCATAGTGAGACCTTGTCTCAAAAAGACAAATATATATGGGAGGTCTTATGTCTTCCCTCGTATAAAACTTCATGCATTTTGGAAAACAAAAGCAGACCCCCCTGACTGGAAAAAGCTAAGCTCTTAAACAGTGCCTGGTACCCTACAAAAGATCTGAACGTAGACAGTGATCTAGGCAAAAAACTGACAGAAAGAGCAAACGTACCTGGTTTGGGTAATTACAAGCAAAAGCAATATAATAGCGATGTCCCCACAACTGTCACAGTGCCGGGGTACCCACGGCAGAAGAAACTGTCTCTTCCAGGGCTGTCGAGGAATAGAGGACACACACCACACCTTGCCCTCGGCAGCCACTGTAACTATTTATGCTCTCACTAACTACAGGTAAGTGGACCTGATACCGGTATGCAAATCTCAGCTTATAGGAGGCAGCGCCCGCCATGCTGGAGAGGGCGCTGTGGAGCAAGCCCATCGCTGCTGGGAGTCCCGGCGAATAAAAAGAATAAAATAATTCAGCCTTGGTTAAAGGGTGTGAGCCAAAGCTGTCAAGGTCCTACGGACACAGGGACAGCACTCGGTACCACGGGAGACACTGATGGGTCAGAAACCATGCCCCCCAGGGAGGAGGCGCCCAGCCAGGCTCCCCCAGCGAGTCCCAGCCTCAGGAGTCCTGGGTTGTCCTTGGGAGAGAGCAGGGTGAGGGGTAGACAGCCGCTCCCAGGCTGGCCAGGTGGCATGTTGGTCTGACGTTTGTACCTCCATGCACCTGAGCTTCCAGAGGTCAGCAGGACCAGGAGCTGGGCAGACCAGAGCTGCCATACCTGTCACCTTGCTACCACACCCTGCCATTTCTGCCGTGACCCTGGAACTCCACCCAGCCTCAGAATTCCCCAAGAACTGAGCCCCATCCCCAGGAAGTCTGACCAGCTGGGGAGCTGGGCACAGACCTGCATTGCCAACAGGTCACAGGTAAAGGCAAGGCCCTGGCTGGGAGCCACACCCAGGCAATAATGGTTAAAGTCAGGTTAGGTGACCGGGACTGAGGCAGCAGGGTGGAGCGCCCAGGAGGTTTACGGGGAAATTCCAAACAGCCCGTTTGAGCCAGGACGCTTTCCTCCTTGAGGCTTTCCTGCGTGCTGTTATATCTAAGATACGTAACTTGCTTGAACACTCCCAAGGCCCTAGGCACAACTCCCAGCCCAGAGGAGAAGGGGCAAACTTCCCCGCTGAGTTAAGCAACGTTAAGTTAGGGGTGCTTAACCTCACACCAAGGGGCTGGCAGCCTGCCCTCTGTTCACCAGGAGCCCCCAGTTTTACCCCTGGATGGGCGATCAACATCAGTTAGTTCCGCCCCTACTCAGTCCTGGCTCACAAAGCCTGCCGAGGGCATGTAGGAAAAGGATAGGTAGTATCCGCACAAGGACGCCGGCCTTTCGAAAAGTAAGAGAGAGCCTCTGACACCGAGCAGCAGGCAGTTCCGTGCTTTCCCTTCTGCCCTGGTTCCGCCTGGTGCAGGTTGCCGTGCCTACCCAAGTTTCCTTATTAGCCCACAAACCCAAACTCCTAGCAACAAGCTGACCACCCAATCAGGTGCAGCTGCCCTTGGAGGAAGGGCTCCCCAGGCCCCGGCCCCATAAAACAGGATCAGTGCCCCATATTCAGTGGTTGTCCAACGCGGGCGCTCCCTCTCCTGGCAGCGGCTCTGTACCACTGCCTTCTGCCAATAAATTTACTTTCGCCTTGTTCCCTCTCCTGACTTCTCTTCCTCTTTCTCCATCACAGAGACAGGCCCAGGAAAGTCTGAGCTTGGGCTGGCGACCCCAGACCCACTGGATGTGGTATATTTGGGAGGCTTGTCTGGGATTATCAAAAGATCACACAGACCAGCAGACTCGGTCAGTATAACCCCCTTAAACAGGACTGAACGTAGGACACTCGGTCCTCTGCTTGTGTCTCTGGAGATCCCACCAACCGTGATCTAGAACTGTTGAAATCCCTTGGCTGGGACCCGTGGGGTCACAGGGAACCCTGTTCCGAGGGCAGTCCGTCCTTCTAGGGCTAAATGGCAGTGCGCAGGGGCTTAGCACCTCCCACAGCTTTCTGGTGGTCCAGAGAGAATGGGCAAGAGCCAATCACTCGTACAGCTGGGGGGCAATTTGTGTGGGGAACCCTGCCAGACAGAAGTCCAGCTTGCTACTCCCCAGGCAGCCAGGTCAGAGGATTGTACAGCTATGCCTAAGCCAAGAGGACTGGCTCCGTCTTCTGCCATCCGGCCTGCACCTGGTCTGGGGTTTACACAGAGCTGCCTAAAGCTAAGAGCCTGAGACCCTGGTCTGTACTCTCTCAAGGACTTAAACTGACCTGCCTGTGGCCAAGAGGAGCCCACCCCGTGGTTTGTCTAGAGTGTCGGGCCCCAACGGGGGGATTACATACACCATGACTCAATGACCTCTCTGTCTGTGGGCCTAAGAGCACAGGAGTTTTTTCCAAAGCCATCTCCAAATTGTATTTCTCAGGGGAATCGGCATCTCCTGGGGAAACTTGACCTCTCCAGTCTCTGCGCCCTTCCACCGCTGCACTGTTAGGGGAAATGGCCTTCCCGTACCCAGCGCTGGCTGAGTGTAACGACTGGCCCCTGCTCAGAGCAAGAGCAGCTGAGAAGGCAACCCGGACCCTGGGACGAGTACGGAAGTAAACACAAGAGGACCCTACTTCTGGTGCAAGTCCCCGGGGACTCGGGCTGCCGGTGGATGACGGGTGCTGAGGCCTGGGTAGGGACCCTCGGGGCGTACTGGGGTACGGCTGGTGGATAGTACTGAGGCGGATACACTGCATAGACGTTGGGCGCCATGGGCGGTGGCCGTGTGGGATAGAGGTGTTCTGGCTGGTACCCATGGTTCTCATAGTAAGGTCCGATGCCCGGTGGAGACCCCTAAACAATGAGAGAAGAGAAACAGCATAAAGCGCTGGAGCGGCCCTGAAGCGCTCAGCACACCCCACCACGTGACCCTCCTGCCAGACACGGACGGGGGCTCTAGCGATGTCACCTTCCCTAGAACGGCCAGGTTCTAGCTCTGAACTAGCCAGAACCTCAACCCCCTGTGCTTTCTTGCTTAACTTTTTAATTTAATTTAAATCATTTCCACTGTTTATTCCTTGAAGTAAAGAAGTGGTTAACATCAGGATTTAGTTTGGAAAGAAGACCTCTAGAAGTCTGGGGTTACAGCCCTCGGGCCAGCGCCCGTCCTGTACCTTCAGGCCTGGCTATCCTGGCGCAGCGTCCAAGTGAAAAATTCTGAAGCGGCCACCCCAGAATTCACACAAGGTCTGTCACGGCTGGTGTTTGAGGACCTACCTTCAGCCAGCGCCTGTGTTCGTAGCCCCTAGGATCAGAAGGGGCACAATTCCCACATCCCGTTTTCAAGGAAATGGGTCTGAGACATCCTCTGGCAGGGCCACCTGACAGACCCACCCTCTCCAGCGAAGGGCTGTCAGCAGTTCTGCTGCAGTAAACCCCCTTCCATAGCATGACTGCTGTCCTCTGCGGGCAGGGACATCTACACCACGTTCCTTCCAGCGGCATTTCCAGGTCAAGGTGCCTTTGTTACACAAACGTGGAAGGCGTGGCCCAGCCAGCGGCCACCAGCTTTATCCGCACCTCACCTCCGCCTAGGGCCCCTCTCACTCCGGCTGCTTCCAGGCTGCCTTCTGGATCCCCACTCCAGACCCACCCCAAGGGCCGCTCTGGACCCCACAGCCTGCAGCCTCCCCTTTCCGCTCCACAGCTGCCCCCTGGGCGGGCCTCTCTGGGGAGGGGTCTCATGGTCCCCACCGACACCGGGTCCTGGCCTTCTTGCCTCTTGTGGGCATCGGTGTCAACAGAGGCCACTGGGCACATAGGTTTTTTTTTTTGTCTTTTTGAGACAGGGTCTTGCTTTGCAGTTCAGGCTGGCCTTGAGCTCACTTTGTAGCCCAGGCTGGTGTTGAACTTGCAACAATCCCCCTGTCTCAGCCTCCCAAGTGCTGGGATTTCAGGCGAGCACCACCATGCCCAGCAAGGCGCTTAGGTTTTAAATCCGGCCTCCAGGAAGGGTGACTGGAAAAGAACAAGCCTGACCCCCAGAGGCAACCCGTGCCTCATTGCCTCACTGACGCTCCACACCGGGTGTAGACAGAGGGCAAGGGAGCCTCAGTGCCCGAGCTAAACGGGGAGAAGGCCTGGGAATGGGCGGGGCCTCTGCTCTGGATCCAAACCTTCCGAGAAGGAGCCCCCGACTGGGCCGGGAGCAGGAGCCTGTCCCAGGGAATTCCTGGGCAGCAGATTGGGAATTTTAAAGGGTCGGGTCAAAACTAACCAACAAAGGACACACAGTGCATTTTCCTACAGGGTCCAGGGAAGGGTGCTGCCCGACCATGAAGTCTTTATTGGATGCACCTGTCTCAGGCACAAAATGCGGTCGGCTATGATGGGGAAAAGATAATGACTTGTCTCCGGGCGGTGGACCTCGGGGCTCCAGGGTGGCCCCCCATGCACAGAGGGCTGTCGGAGAGCAGGCACCGGGGGTGTCCCCAGCAGCCTGTCATCCCCAGCCTCATCCCTCCACCCCCAACCCACCTCGCCTGTCTGCACACCTGCCCTGCCCTGCCCGCTGCCCCAGCCAGAGAGGAAGAGGCCGATGGTAAGCTGGGCCGGGCAGCAATGGCTTTGGGCCCCCTCTGCAGCTCAGGGCTCCACCCCGCCTCACCCCTCCCTGGACAGCACCGTGAGCCTTGCACACACCATCCCCTCCCCTCACCCAGCCCCTCCGCAAGCTGACCCCCATGTGCTGCTGAGGACAGGGAATCCAGACCAGACAGGGAGCGCTGGGAGGTAATCATTAACCACTTACTGAGTTCAAAGCCATGCTGAGGTTATCAACTGCATCAGGTACTGCTAGGGCCTTGGGCCAGTCCAGACGCCCTGGAAGAAAGAGTCACAAGACTGCAATGTTTCCGCACCGCTTTATAGCAAATGATAAGGCCTGGGAGCGGCGGACACTGGGGGAAAGTTCTGGCCGGCACAAACCGCAGCTCCCGTTGACCTGCAGGATTCACCTCCACCACCTCTTTCCTCGGTGCTTTGTACACGGCGAGTTCACGGCCAAGGTGCACTGGAGCCCAGCATCCCCTGGTACAGACCTGCCCTTACAGGTCAGGGTTGGGGTGTGCTTTTAAGGGACAGGCTGAGGACCTCATATGAAGGGAAGGTTCCCAGGGGCGTGCCCAGCACTGACCCAGGCCCCTGAGTCCTCCTGTAGCCTTGCACAGCTCCTGCAAGGGGGCTGTGACTCCCCATCAGTTACAGCTACCAAAAGGAGAATGCAAATGGTATTTGGGAGGCTGAAGCAGGAGGATCTCTGTGAGTTCAAGGCCAGCCTGAACTACACAGTGAACACCTGTCTCAAAACAACAACAACAACAAAAAACAAACACTGAAGAAACAAAAAGAGAATCCATGGGCTAAAAACCTGGGAGAACCACAGCAAAGAAACCTTGAAACCTGCCAAGATCAACAGTGGGCCAGAGCAGGAAGAGCCCTGCGCCACCCCCAGCAATGCCGCTTCTTGGCGGTGTCCCAAGACAAGAAACTGAGGTTCATTGACCCCTCAGGTCCTCCTGGGAATAGCAGGGGTCGTAAGGGATGTGGTGTGCTCAGTTGGGGACACTGTGGAGCGTGCAGACGGGCACAGCTTGGCAGCAGTGACCAAGGACAGCAGTGTGACCAGGGGTCCCCACACCCACAAGTGCCTGTGAGCGCACAGCCCTGTGCCCCAGACAGAGCAGAGGGTCAAGGCCCCCACACTGGAAAGAGGCCACGTTTGACCTTTTAAAGTAAAACATGTGGGACCTCCACATTTTAACAAATAGATACATTTTTTTAAACTTCCTAAAACACATCCATTCCTACTCCACTTGCTACCAAATCCAAGCAAGAAAGACATGGAGAGCTAATTACTGTCACAGACTCTAAGCCTGGCAGGCGTGGAAAGAACCCCGTGGAGCCCCTGCACCCCAGCGGTCCTCGGACACACCCCTCGCTCCACCCAGCGTGCACAGGCTCACTTGGTTGCTTTCCTGTGAAAGCCACTTTTAGCAGAGAACCTGCCAAGTCAGTTCACCTCGATCCTCCCACCCACGATGGGAGCATCCTCCCTCCTACCTCAGCAAGAATCCTGTTGGGTCCGTTTCTCTGGGACCCCTCTCCCCATTTTCCACCCACTGAGCCCCTGGGTGGTGAAACTCTATACTCCCTTGCTGTAGGCAGAGTCAGAACAATCTCTCTCCCCCACTAGGGAGACCCTGTCAAATAATCAAGCCTAGGGGCTGGGGATTTAGTTCAGCGGCACAGCACCTGCCTGGCAAGTGTGAGGTCATGAGTTCGATTCCTGGCACCGGAAAAAAACCAAAATAAAATAAAATAAAATAATCAAGCCTGCCTTACCTAGCCCTAAGGATATTCACTGAGCGATTGTTTCTCACACCTCTCAGCGAGGCTGTTCTCCACCCCTCGGGCTGGGGCTGAAACGACCAAGGAATATTCTAAGAAATTATATGGGGCACCATCGCCCCACAAGACAGTGTCCCCACTAAGGGTCCGGGAGCTGGCAGAAGGCTCTGGGCTTTGCAGACAGCCGCATGGAGCTGGATTCTTTTCACGCCGTTCCTCCGGGAGCGCTGCAAGCGCAGGCGGGGCGCACGCGGCTGACCTTCCTCTGGGGCCCTGTGAGTGCAGACCCAGGCTCAGCCTCTGCCTCTCGGGAGCCACAGCCGAGAGAGTCGTGCCTGCCCTGGGCCTCAGGGGCACCAGTGGGCTCATCCCAGTGACGTCCCGAGTGCCTGCCATGCGGGGAGCCCAGCACCCACCTTTCTGAAATCAAAGCAGTCACAAAGCTGAGCAGTGTTCAACCTCCCACACCGGGGCCTGGTCCGTGCATTTCCACATCGCACTTGGTAAGCGCTCCCGAGCCCCAACACAAAGTCCACTGCTCCCAGCGTCCACGGGACCCAAATACCACGGACGCTGCTGCAAAACTTCGTACTTAGTGAATCATTAAACCAACGGGAAAGGGAAAACCCGAACACCTTGTGAGGAATAAAAATACGAGTAAAGCTCTGAACAGAGCACTGCAAAAATGAGCCGCGCCGTGGATTTGCTCTGTGTGCAGGGAAAGCAGGGCAGCCTGGTCCTGCCGAGAGCCTGCGGCTGTTTTTCAGATGAGTAAGGAAGCCAGCGGCTGTCTGGGGAGGAGGAAGGAAACCCGGCTGAGGTCGGGGGAGCACATCTGGGCCGGTGCGGCGGTCCCGAGTTCATGCTCTCTCCTAGGTCTGCTTGGGAAGGGCGCTGAGCGCGCACACACCTCAGCGTGGTAAGTCCCGCTCCGAGTGCTCAGCAGGAGCGAGCCCAGCCCGGCCGAGGTGACTTCCGGCAGAGTCCTGCCGGGGCAGTCCGCCGCGCGCCTCTGCTCCCCCTGCCCCCGCGGCGGCGATCCCGGGCTCCCGGCCGCTCCTGCCCACCTCGCCCGTTATGGGCTGGGCTGAGGTTTCAGGAAACGAAAATTCGATGCCGCTGGCGGCTTTCCCGGTGGAGGAGCCTCTGAAAGGAGTGCTGCCTCAGTGCTCAAAATCCGTGCTTGCTACTCATGCGGATCCCTCACAGCGGGGGAGCAGGAGGCCGGGACGGGAGGGAACGTCAGAGAAAAGACACAGGACCCGGAAGCCGGCCGGGACAATCCTACCGCCCGCCATCCTGCAGCCTGCAGTGGGACGGGTACCGGCTCGGCCAGCGTGGGCTTCAGGCAGGAGATGAGGGCCCTGCCCGTGGCTTCCTGCAGCCCAAAGGAAAGGAAGGGGGTCCCGGTTCCAGGGCTGGGAGGGGCTGGCCAGCAGGACCCCGGAAACCATGTTCCACTCCATGCGTCTCCAGACAGGCGCTCCCAAGGTCACGTGGGATCCAAAATCACCTGATCCAGTTTCCGAAATGTGCAAGACACGACCCTGGCATTTCACCCTTCTCAGGCTGTTTCCTCAGAAAGCCGAGGCCCCGGGAGTCACCTGCCTGGCCACCACACGCCAGCGTGATGCGGTGACCTTTCCTCCCCGTCCCCGGAAAAGGCAAGGCTGTTCCACAGCAAGAACAGTTTCATCTTGGAGTTTCTGTCCTCTGCAGCCCTCGGAACACGGCGCTGGCTGGAGGCTCATTCTGAAAACGACGGCAGCAGCGCGGCTGAAGTCACATTCCCAGGGGCAGTCGTCCTCCCAGGGGCCAGGGGTGCACCGATGTCTCCCACAGTCACACAGGCACCCTCGAGAGGCCCCACAGCGCTCTGGGCCCGTCCCCTTGCTGGAGATGCAAAGGGGACCCCCGGTGCCCACACCCCTTCTTCAGCCTCAAAGGCCGCCGCCATCAGCCGGCACCCCGCACCCAGAACAGACACCAAGAACCACAGCACTAGACCTCATCCTGCGGAATGCTCTCTCCTGGAGCCCCAGTGCGGTCAGATGGAAGTTAGAGGGCGGAAGGACTGCCAGTCACAGCTCCACAGGGGCGAGTTCACAGGGAAAGATCGCCAGACAGACGGCCCCCGAGGACGCGGGGGTAGAAATGAGAGAGAGACAGAGACAGAGAGAGACAGGGAGACAGAGAGACAGACAGAGACAGAGATAGAGACAGAGAGGCAGAGACAGAGAGAGACACAGACAAAGAGACAGAGAGAGACAGAAACAGAGAGACAGAGGGACAGACAGAGAGACAGACAGAGACAGAGAGAGAGACAGAGAGAAACAGAGCCAAAGAGACAGAGGCAGAGAGACACAGACAGAGACAGAGAGAGACAGAGAGAGACAGGGAGACAGAGAGAGAGAGAGACAGAGAGAGACAGACAGAGACAGAGGAGAGAGAGACAGAGACAAAGAGACTGAGACAAAGAGACAGAGGCAGAGAGACAGAGACAGACACACAGAGACAGACAGAGACAGAGACAGACAGACAGACAGAGACAGAGATAGACAGACAGAGACAGAGACTCAGAGGAGCCTGCCTGTACCACCCAAGCTCCTCTCTCTGTGAATGCCTCATTATCCCAAGGAGATTACAAACTTTTTAGGGCAGGAACCAGGTCTGGTCTTCTATTCTTTAGCCAGCGTTCTACCATACAAAGAAAGTGTTCAAATATTTTGTAGTTCCAAAGCCCTAACGAGTAGCATGAAATCGAGCAAGAAAGAAGCCGGCAACTGTACTCAGCAGCCTCCCAAGCCGGGGCAGGGGACAGACACAGGGGTGCGCACCTAGCACGACAGGGAGAGAGAGGGGCCCCAGGCCACTCCAAGGGGACGCTCGACACTGTGCCCAAGCGCCTGGCGAAGGCCACAGGTTTGCGCAGGGTGATGGGACAACAGGGACGCCGGGTAAGTAGGACTGTTGTAAGGGCTCCAAGGCTCTGTGGTCGCACATTTCATAGTCATAACACAACGCCCTGGGGAGGCTTCTTATCTCCCCATAGCTAAGGGGCAGCCCCATGGGGAAGGAGCTCAGCAAGGTCGATGTAAATCCTAAGGGCAGTACAGGATCAATGATCAGAATATCAGAAATGCGCACTTTGATTCAACTCAGGGAAACCAAGTTTTCAACAATTACAGAGTTCAAGTAAGAGGCTGGACGTGATGGTATACACCTGTAATCCCAGCACTTGGGAGGCTGAGGCAGGAGGGTTGCCACAATTTCTAGGCCAACCTGGGCTACAAAGTGAATTCAAGGCTATTCTGAACTGCATAGTGAAACCCTGCCTCAAAAAAGAGCAAAAA